TTATCACAGTATTATGAGTACTTCACATATTTTTGTTTTTCCAGTAGCTGCCCTCCATCTGAACACACCCATACAGAGCCCCCCCCCCCCATGCGACGCTGTCGTCCCAGTGTCACCAACAAACATTTTCTGCTCAAAAGTCGGTTTAGAACTAAAACAGAAATGAAAATTCTTCAACATACATCCACTGTACAAATCATAGAATCAGTGCCACTTTATAATAACTACACTAGAATTATCATTAATAAAGCAGGAACAAAGACTTCATAAACAAATACTTCAAATTCAGGCCTAGTAACTACTTCATTAAAGGTATAATGTGTAACTTTCTGAAGGTGCCACATCACCTGCCCGATTCCATGGAAATACAGAGTTAAAACCAAATGAAACATTCTCCATGGAGATAAGTGAGTTTAATGTCATACTGTGGGACATTTTTAGTCAGGCTGGCACCACCTAGTGCCTCTGCTCAGTTTCATTTTGCTCCAGCGACTAGGTCAGGAATTGAAATACACTAGATCAGGGGTCCCCAACCCCCGGGCTGCAGACCAATACTGGGCCGTGGGTCGTTTTTTACCAGGGCGCAAAAGCACAACCCCCCCTCCCGTACGCATCTCTAAACCAGAACTAAACCAGGACTAAACCAGGACTAAACCAGGACTAAACCAGGTCTAAACCAGGACTAAAAACAGGACTAAAACAGGACTAAAACCAGGACTAAAGCAGGTCTAAAAAAGGACTAAAACCAGAACTAAACCATATCTAAACCAGGAATAGACCAGGTCTAAACCAGGCCTAAACCAGGTCTAAAACCAGGACTAAACCAGGACTAAAACAGGATCTAATCAGGACTAAACCAGGATTTAACCAGGATTAAACCAGGCCTAAACAAGAACTAAAACCAGGTCTAACCCAGGTGTAAAAACAGGTCTAAAACCATGACTAAACCAGGTCTAAACCAGGACTAAACCAGAACTAAAACAGGACTAAAACCAGGACTAAACCAGAACTAAAACCAGGTCTAACCCAGGTCTAAAACCAGGTCTAATCCATGACTAAACCAGGACTAAACCAGAACTAAAACCAGGACTAAAACAGAACTAAAACCAGGACTAAACCTGGACTAAACCATGCCACACCGCCGCAGCCCACGGTCCTCAAAACATTGTCGGACATAAAACCAGTCCGTGGAGCTAAAAAGGTTAAGAACCACTGCACTCAACAGTCTGCAAGAACCTTGGAAGTTGTAGACCGCGCACCGGCCAATCGGCGAAGAGCCGTACATTCTGTGTGGCTAACAATCCCCGCGAGTCAGGTTTGTGGAGATGCAAGCCTGTTCACAGTAAGGACGCAATAATAAACAATGCTTTTATCTGAGTCTGTTTTAGGATTTTAAAAAAATACATACTGTGGCTTTAAGTGCTTATGCTGAGATGTTAGGATCATAGTATTAATTACGCAGTTACTATGTGTTAATTAAGTCTTTGTTCATGCTTTATTAAGGCTAATTAAGCTGTAGTCATGATACAGCGTCACCATATAATCTTCCATCTCTTTTTAAGCATCTCTGTACAGTTAAGTCTCTCCTACCATTAGACATAGTTATAGTATTTTATTAACACAATATTTTGCACTTGGACATTCATTTTCTATGAGTCGATGAAACAGTAACAAAGTGATAAAGCTGAAGATATATGTGTGAAGCAAAGTCCCATGTAAAAAACTGTTCAAATACTGCATGACGAAACAAGAGCCGCTGGTTTACAGTGCAATACAATCCAGGTCAGTCTCAGGGCCCGGACCATGGACAGTTTTATACACACGTGTTTTTTTCTTGTGTTTATCGAGCGTCTCTGTCCACTCTGAAGTCATAAAAACATCAAGACCACATAAAATTTGTTTAAGTCTTTGTTTCAGATATTCAGTTTAAAGGTGCGTTATGTGATTTTTCTGGAGGAGATATGTTTCAGATACAAAAATACCTAAACATGAATAAATGCAATAAGGATAAGTTTAATGCCGTACTGTGGAATGATCTAGGTCAGGGTTCTTCAAACGGTGGTTCTTCAGGTGGTACTTGGACAGCTCTTCAGCTTGTGGATTTGCTTATTTTAGATCTTTTAGACTTTTAGACCTGTTTGTTTTGTATCTAAGGAGCTAACTAAGACTACATTCAGACTGCAGGGCTTAATGCTCAATTCGGATTTTTTTGTGAAATCTGATTTTTTTTGCGAGGTCGTTCACATTTCCAACTAAATGCGACTTGTATGTGATCTCAAGTGTGAACTTTAAACGGCCCAAAAGTCTCCCGCATGCTCATAGGATGACATGACAACGTCACAAACAGCGAGTGCGCTCAGTGTTTATGGAAGTCGCCTAAACGCTGGGCTTGTCTCCCAAAATATGGTCTAGTTGTTGGTAAAATGGACAGGTTACACGTCCATGGGTGCGTCAGTAGTTTGAGTCTTTAGCCTCTTTGTATTTGTCTCGAAGGCTCTTTATTTTTCGTTGAGATTGGAGTCAGGACCGCCTGTAGCCTCCCTCAGACTTTTTTTGGCAATCATTTCAAAAACTGCCCCGTTCCGATAAGACGCCTCCAATTTGGCCTGAATACAGCGATCAGCTCAAATATGAACAAACTCACAAACGTCGCTTTCCCTCCATTGATGAGACTCTGAGCCTGACGTGTAGGTGGGATGAATCTGACTTGGTCGTTCAGACTGAAGTCACATGTCAAAAGATCAGATATGTATCAGTTTTAGGAGCACATATCCAAGTGGCCTGGATCTGTTTTCGTTCAGACTGTCATTAAAAGATCAGATACAGGAGCATAAGGGCAAAAAAATCAGATTTGGGTCACTTCAGGCTGCAGTCTGAGCGTAGCCTAAGTAGAAAGCTATGGACATCTGAGATGTAAAGGCTTTTTATAGCATGTGTGGCAGCAAATGTGACAGAAGAGCTTCCAGAGGAAATACTTTGGGGGAATGGCCCATTTCATCACCAACCACAACAACAGAGTAAGATTAAGAGTAAGAATGAGGCCTTTCCTGTTGTGTTGTATTCCCCTGGTGCCCCCTGGAGGCTGTTGTGATGCTGCAGAAAACAGAGAAGGGACATTTTTGATTCTTCCTCTCCTCAAACTGCCCTGACACAGATCTGTTCACTCTCCCTGACCAGTCCTCCTGAGACACAAAGGCAACTGAGAAGTGCCTGGTTTAGCCCTAGATTAGATCTAGAATATTCAGATTATAGACCTGGTTTAGATCTTGTGGTACTTGGAAAACCAAATATTTTTGTTGGTGCTGCTTGGTGTAGAAAGTTTGAGAGCTAGTGAAGCAATATCATCTCCAAGGAGACCTCCAACCTACGGAAGCAGGGAGGGCTCATAACAAACGCAAACGATGCAACAAATATGAACACGACAACACAAATGCAAATGCCACAACACAACAAAAAGCCACAACGGAAGTGACCGCGAGACTCTATTTTAATGCAAACGCTGCAACACAAATGCAAACGCCACAACAAATACAAACATGACAACACAAATGCAAATGCCACAACAAACCAAAAAGCCACAACGGAAGTGACCACAGGACTCTTTTCTATTTTCTGACGGGCCAAACGGCAGTTAAACAGTGACATCGATCCTGGCCACAAAACAATAAATTACATTTCCAACTTCGTTCACTTTTCTGTTCCTTTACTTTTCACATTCTTGTTCTTCTTCAACTTTTCGTATTCACTTCTCACCTAATCCTTTAACGCTTTGCTTGGTCCGTCGGAAAATAGAATGCCACGGTCACTTCCGTTGTGGCTTTTTGGTTTGTTGTGGCATTTGCATTTGTGTTGCGGCGTTTGTATTTGTGTTGTGGTGTTTGCATTTGTGTTGCAGCATTTGCATTTGTGTTGCGGTGTTTGCATTTGTGTTGCAGTGTTTGCATTTGTGTTGCAGTGTTTGTATCTGTGTTGTGGTGTTTGCATTTGTGTTTTGGCGTTTGCATTTGTGTTGTGGCGTTTGCATTTGTGTTGTTGCTTTTGCATTTGTGTTGTGGCATTTGCATTTGTGTTGTGGCGTTTGCAATTGCGTTATTGCGTTTGTATTCGTTGCGGCGTTTTCATTTGCAATCTGGCTTTTTGGTTTGTTGTGGCTTTTTCATTTGCGTTGTGATGTTTGTATTTGCGTTGTGGCGTTTGCATTTGTGTTGTGGCATTTGTATTTGCGTTGTGGCTTTTGCATTTTCGTTGTGGAGTTTGCATTTGCGTTGTGGCATTTGCATTTGTGTTGTGGCGTTTGTATTTGTGTTGTGGCGTTTGCATTTGTGTTGTGGCTTTTGCATTAATATATAGTCACTTCCATTGTGCCATTTTTTGGTTTGTTGTGGCTTTTTTTCGTGTTGTTTGCATTTGTGTTGTCGCGTTTGTATCCGTTGCGGCATTTGCGTTTGTTATGAGCCCTCCTGGCTTCCATACCAACCTGCCCTTGGTCTTGAGGTCTCGAGGAGCTTTGTAAAACCACTTTACGACTTCAAGGTGTAAATGTGCAACTGCACTGGACTTTAAACGGCACAACAGTTTCAAGGTCTGCTCCAGAATTTCATTTGATTAAAACCATAACTCACCTTCAAATGATCTGAAACTTGAAATTACATTCAACCAACTTTCTTTTCAACAGTCTACACCTTTAAATGCTTTGTTCGCCTGCAGACCAGAAACCGACACAAGATCAAAAACACACGGACAAAACCATCCATATGTCCCGGCCCGTTCCACGCCATCTAGCGGAGGAACCATTTCGTTTTTTGGTTAAACTCAGTCTTGGGCAGTTGGCTTCAGTTGAGTTCATGTCCCGGATCCAGTTCACTCCTGCAGTTTCTATGGCGACTTCAAGTGAAAACATCTGGGAACATCTGGCCAATACGTACCCGCTGATACCGAATCCGCCGTTTCCCGAACTCGTTTTAAAATCTGTGTGTGTGTGTTTTTTTCTTTTTTTCTTTTTACGACACAGCTCTCCGCGACGTGCTGTAGCTGAGGCTGGTCCCTCCGCCCGCAGTCTTGTGTGTGGTGATTTTGAGCGTGGTCGCCACAGTGAGGCCGGGGGTGGCGGGGAAGGCGGGGGGCTGGCTGGAAGTGAAGCCCACGGCGGAGGAGGAGAGGGGCGAGGAGATGGAGGAGAGGGGCGAGGAGATGGAGGAGAGGGGCGAGGAGACGGAGGAGAGCGGAGCGTCGTTGGGGCAGCCGTGCTGGAGCAGGATGTCGACGCACTCCTGGCTCCCGACGCCGCGAGCCACCGCCAGCGCCGTCTGACCCTGCGAGTCCCGGTACCGAACGTCACAGCCGTACTGGAACAGAGAGAGAGAGAGAGAGGAGGAGGAGAGGGAGGGATAAGAAGAAGAGAGAGAGAGAGGAGAGGAGAGAGGAACAGGGAGAGAGAGGGAGAGAAAGGGGGAAGAGAGAGGAGAGGGAGAGAAGAGAGGAGAGGGAGGGATGAGAAGAAGAGAGAGGGATGAGGGGAGAGAGGAACAGGGAGAGAGAAAGGGAGAGAAAGGGGAAAGATAGAGAGTAAAGGGAGAGAAAAGAGAGGAGAGGGAGAGGAGGAGGGGGAGAGAGAGGAACAGGGAGAGAGAGATATATAGGGAAAGACAGGAGAGAAGAGAGAGAGATAACATGAGAGAGAAGGGTAGAGAGAGAGAAAGATATATAGGGAGAGAGAGAGAGAGATAGATATAGAGAGAGAGAGAGGGTAGAGAGAGAGATATATATATAACGAGAGAGAGAGAAGGGTAGAAACAGAGAATGATATATAGGGAGAGAGAGAATATAACGAGAGAGAGAGAAGGGTAGAAAGAGAGAAAGATATATAGGGAGAGAAGAGCAGAGAGAGAGATATAACGAGAGAGAGTGAAGGGTAGAGAAAGATATATAGGGAGAGAGAGGAGAGATATAAATAGCGAGAGAAGGGTAGAGAGAGAAAAAGATATATAGGGAGAGAGAGAAGAGGAGAGAGAGAGATAATGAAAGAGAGAAGGGTAGAGAGAGAGAAACATATATATGGAGAGAGAGAGAAGACAGAGATAGATATATAACGAGAGAGAAAAGGGTAGAGAGAGAAAGAAGGGTAGAGAGAGAGAAAGATATATAAGGAGATTGGGAGCGAGGACGGGGGATAGGAGAGAGATAATGAAAGAGAGAGAGGGGGGAGTGAGAGGAGAAAGAGAGAAAGGAAGAGAGAGGAGATGGCAGAGAGGGGGAGCGAGAGATACACAGAAGAGAGAGGAGGGAAGAGAGAGAGTGAGGGGTAGTTGCAGAAGGAGAGAAAGAGAGAATGGGAGACACAGAGAGGGGGTAGAGAGAGAAAGAAACAGACAAACAGAGAGAGAGAGAAAGGGAGGGAGAGAGGGGGGGAAGAGAAGGAGAAAGAAAGAGAAAGATAGAGGGGGAAGGGAGAGGAGAAAGAGAGAGAAAGGGAGAGAGGGGATGAGAGAGGGAAAGAGAGATACAGAGAGAGAAGGAGAGCGAGGGAAACAAAGAGAGGGAGAGGAGAGAGTGTAGGGTAGGAAGAGAGAGAGAGAGAAAGAGAGGGTAGGGAGAGAGAAAAAGACAGAGGGAGAGAGAGGGCAGAAGAGATAAATAGACAGATAGAGAAAGACAAAGAGGGAGAGAGAAATACGAGGAAGTAAAAGGAAGAGATAAAGAGAGTCAGAAAGACAAAAAAGAGAATGGAAATGATGGGGAGAGAAAGACAGAGAGAAAGGAGGAGGAAGAGAGAGAGAGAGGAGAAAGACTATTAGGAGAATTAATTCAGGACATGATTTATTAAAAGGCTTCAATTTCCCACAGAACATAAGGCGCTTAAGGCTTTAAAGAGAAACTCCACTTCACCATTCACACGAAGAAATACTGAACTCTAAAGCTGCACTCTGGAACTTTTCTGGTCTGTTCCTGCCTGTCTCCATGGATACTATTGCACAGATAAGAGGGTGGGAGAGGATGACAGCTGTAATGTCTTGCCCGAGGACCCAACAGCAATAAGAACCTGGACTGAATCAGATTACACCTAAATGAAGTCATCAAGGTGAACCTGATATTTTTAGCACAGTTTTGCAGTTGTGTGAATAATAAAGGCTTGTCAAAAGAGTTGGAAATCAGTATCAAAACTAGATACTCGTTTGAGAAGGTACTAATGCTGAGTTTTAGAATCAGAACAGCTGTATCAGAACAAGTATAAGAGCACATAGACGAGTAAACGCCCATGGACGCTATGAACTTACTGGACCACTGAGGGATTACACACATATATACAGTGTTGGGAAGGTTACTTTTACAATGTATTCCCCTACAGATTACAGATTACATACCCCAAAATGTAGTCTGTAACATAAATCCATTAAATTAATTAAAGTGAGTAACGTAATCTGAATACTTTGGATTACTTGATATTGTCATGCTTTTTAAAACTAACCCTAACCCAACCACATCCTGAAAAGTTCGAAGAGTTTGTTTTCTTCAAATTGTCTGTTGAGCCCAGATCTCCTTGAACAGACTTTTGTTTACTGTAGAGAAGCAAAGACGAAGGATGTTTTGTCTGCTAAAAGACACAAAAAGCCCAGTCTGTCCTTAACCAGATTAAAATATTATTGATAGAGAAATTATTTTTATATGAGATCACTTTAAATTATGTCCACCTACTGTTAGGTGTCATATTGTTTAGTCCTGGTTTAGTCCTGGTTTAGTCCTGGTTTAAGTCCTGGTTTAGTCCTGGTTTAGTCCTGGTTTTAGTCCTGGTTTAGTCCTTGTTTAGACCTGGTTTAGACCTGGTTTAGCCCAAAATGTGAAAACAGGAAAATACCGTCGTGTAATCCATTCATTTCAACAAAGTAACTGTAATCCAATTACCACTCACTGAAACTGTAACTGTAACTGAATACAGTTACTCATAATTTGTACTCTGATTAGGTAACGCCGGTACATGTAATCTGTTACTCCCCAACACTGCATATAAGACACATGAGAATAGAAAAGAAAGTAGTACCGTATTTTTGGTCTATAAGGCGCACTGGATTATAAGGCGTAATATCAATAGTGTTGAATTCTCTTGTCTTTTTTCATACATAATGTACACCAGATTATAAGGTGCATTCAGTGAAACAAACGGACGACACTTGAGACTGATCCTTAGCCCAGGCGTCCATGATCCATCGGCAGATCGTGGCGTAATTCGCCCGGCGTTGCTTCCCTGTTTTGGTGAATATTAGTCAGGCTGGTGCCACCTAGTGCCTCCGCTCAATTTCATTTCTCTCCAGCGACTAGGTCAGGAATCAGAATCCACTAGATGGTTCGCAAAAACCCCAGAAGTGCGAGTTCAGGCACCAGCCAATCAGCGAAGTGTCAGACATTCTGTGTTGGCAACGATTCCCAAGATCGAGGATTTAAAGCCAGAGCAAAGAGAATGTTTGGTGAATTTTATCAAGGGGAAAGACGTTACTGTCCTTCTTCCTTCGGGATTTGGGAAAAGCTTAATATACCAGTTAGCCCTGATAGTGGTGCATTATATACGTCATGATCAAATAGCAGTGACTGGTTAAATTAAAAAAAGTACCCACCTACCATCAAGCGATTCTTAATGCTGTGAGGTCAGATGGTTTCTACGAAGTCAAACCCGCTGATGAATCAGGCTAGGTGAATGTGGATTATGAATGTGAATGTGGTAAGTTTGTTTTTTTATTTTCTATGAGGACGACTTAAAGATACATTGAATAATAATGTGTTTAATGCAGCTTTGTGCACATTTGTTTACATTTTACAGAAAGTAAACTTAAAACCACATGACTCATTTGCATAAATTGTAAGTGCTGGAAAAAAAAACAGCTCACTCCTTGTGCACTGATGTGGTTCAGTTTCTGTTGGACTAAAGGACACGACTCAGTGGAATATGAGTGTTCTATTGTTCTGAGTGTGACAGAGGATGTGCTGCTGATGGTGAGTCTGTTCTGTGCTTTTATCACATTGGAGATGGTTCATGTGAAACTTTTCAGAGATTATAAGTCTGCAGGTCATATGGGTAGACCATATATATGAATGCACATATTCTCTGCAGCATAAATGCCAACGCAGAACTATACTTTGCCCTTTACTCTGCGAGGCTCCTGACTACAGTAGCCGTTATGCTCTGACAATCCATCAAGCGTGTGGCTTCGTAGTTACCAAAGTACCACATAAAATCAGTTTGAGGTCAGTAAACACAACCAGAATTAATACATAAGGCGCACTGTTGATTTTTGAGAAAATTAAAGGATTTTAAGTGCGTCTTATAGTCTGAAAAATATGATATTTAATGTTGAAATCACATTGTATTGTCTAAAGAAAGCATGTTTTTATCAAGTCAGTTCCTCAAGTTTGAAATTTCAGTATCTTGACAACACTAAAACAAAATAATTAACAGATACTTTTACTTCCTTTACTAAAATCTAAAACTTTTCCTCACCAACTCTGTGAATTATCATTTTGGATGCAAAGATAAGACCAATCCTCTTTAAGACGTAGTAAAAAGTACATTTGACAGCTCTTAAATACTCCTCCACAGAGTTGGCTCCGGGGGCTCTCGTCCATACATCAAACCCAAGCTGAGTCACTCCTCATACTCACGTTTGTGCTGAGTCCAGTGCTCTCTCGCTCTGTTTGCTCTATTTATCTGGACCACTTTTGCATCATAGCATTTTATTTGGACGTATATTAGCCTGACTTTTACTTTTCTGTCAGAATTCAGTGGTTTGATCAGATTTGATTCGAGCTGGATTTTCAGACTGCAAAAGAAAAGTGCAAAACTGTGTAAAAGTATCTCTGAATGTAATCATATGAGATGCAAAGGAAGGGTCCATATTACACTATTTTATGATCTATGTTCTAATGTTGTTTCCTCATCACAAACAGACAAGGGTGGAAAGTAACAGATTACATTTATTACTTACTGTAATTGAGTAGTTTTTATAAGTAATTTGTAATTTTTAAAGTAGTTTTTGAAATAGGTGATATTAATTTTGCTCGAGTACAGTAAGTAAGTGAAAGTGTTTTACTTCATTAGATTGGAATCCACCATCGTTACTGAGTAAAATCTGATTTATAGAGTAAAAAAAAGAAATGCAAAAAAAAAAAAAAGACCAATCTACCGGAAATAAAAGGAAATTGCACGAACTGCACACGTGGCATTTTCACTATAGAATGTCCAGATGTGTAGTACACATTGTGTACATGTACAAAGTTTGCACTGAACAGTTTGTCTGTATCACCTAAAAGTTGATTAAAACAACTTGTGCTGGATTAGATTTATGACTCATCCTTCTGT